TCATGGAATGGTTTGGGTTGGAAGGATCTTAAGAACCATCCAGTTCCAACCCATTGCCATGAGCAGGGATACCTTCCACTAAGCCAGGTTATTCCAAACCCTGCCCAGCCCAGCCTGGAACACTTCCAAGGATGGGGCATCATTATGGTGTATCATATGTGAAGAAGAAATCTTGCTGGAATGTCTTTAGAGAGGAGGGAAAGCTGTGGAAAAGAGAGATCTTGGTGGCCTTTTAAATCCTTCATGGATGTACAGACTACACTACAATTCCACAGTCTAAACTGGATCCTGAATTTTCCCTGCTCCCTGGATGTTTGCAGTAACTGGACAGGCAGAATGAATTCCCTCAAGAACATGTCATTTGTGGTCTCCCTCCTCTCCCTGTCAGTCCCAGGAATCAGTGCCAAGTGTGGGTCTGAGGCAATAAAGTCTCCATCTTCCATGGTTTAAACTGGGAATGTGTGTTTGTAAATAATGGCTGTTCCAGTTAATTAGATCCTTCAGTGTCCTGATCTTCCCAGGGCTCTTGTTTGCAGCACTCACTTTTCACAGGGTCATGGAGCCACTTAGGACTCACTGTCTAAGTTAATGTGTTTTGTCACTGAGTGTTTGGGTCACTTTTCCAGGCATTTCATGCAGTCATCTGTGTGGGGACCCACAGCATTTGGGGTGCTCTGCCCTCCTCCTCCCACCCACCCCACCATGAACAGCATTCCCACAGAGAGGATTTTCATAGCTTCCTGGTATGTTAAGGGGTTGGAATGGAGCTTAGAGATCATCCAGTGCCAACCCTCTGCCCTGGGCAGGGACACCTCCCACCAGAACAGGTTGCTCAAGGCTTTAGCCAACCTGGCTGTGAACACTGCCAGGGTTGGGGCAGCCACAGCCTCCCTGGGCAACCTGTGCCAGTGTCTCACCACCCTCACAGGGAAAACTTCTTCCTGATGTCTAATCTCTATTTCCCTCTGTCAGTGTATCCCCATTGCTCCTTGTCTTGTCCCTGCAGTTCCTAACCAAGAGTCCCTCTGCAGCTTCCCTGGAGCTCCCTGGGATTCTGGCAGGTTGTTCTGAGGTCTCCACACAACCTTCTATTCTCCAGGCTGAACAACTCCAACACTTTCAGCCTGTCTTTGTAAGGAAGGTGCTTCAGTCCTCTTAGCTTCATGGCCTCCTCTGGACTTGCTCCAAGAGGAGCATGTCCTTCTGATATTGGTGACACCAGAACTGTGTGCAGTATTCCAGGTGAGGTTTCACAAGAGCAGAGTAGCGGGGAAGAACCCCCTCCCTCACCTGCTGCCACATTCCTTTGGCTGCAACCCAGGCCTGGGTTGGTTTCTGGGCTCTGAACTCACACTGAGGTCATGGGGAGTTTCACATCACCATCATCCCTAGGTCCTTCTCCCAGTTCTCCTCTCAATGTCTTCTCCCTCAGCCTGTAGGTGTGTCTGGGATTGCCCTGATCCAGGGGTAGGACCTTGCACTTGGATTTGTTGTACTCCATGAAGTTGGCATCAGCCACCTCTGCAGCCTGTCCAGGTCCCTCTGGATGTCCCATCCCTTCCCTCCAGCATGTTGAGATAACTCCTGTTGACAAACTGACCATTTAATGAGGCCTGTTGGAGTTTTTCAAGGGCCAGAAACATGCAGGGGTTGGGGAAAACCTGGGTTTTGCAGGTCAGGTGTGTTGGTGAAGCCACACTGTGGGATGTGGTGAGCAGCCTGTGGCATGTGCTTCCACCCACCGCACACTCCACTGTGTGTTGAAAACCTTTCTGAAATTACCCAAATAACTGTGTGAGGAGATGATTTTGTCAAGCTGCCACTTGACTTTTGAAGTAGCTTCATAAAGAAGGCTTTAATTAACTATTTTAGACCTTTCCTTCTCCGTGTACAAAGCAGTTCCCAGGAGGATCCACTTGAGAAAAGCAGATTTTAGTTTGCAGTTGGCATCATTTATAGAAGGTAAAATTACTTTGGCTATAGATTGTTCATCAGTTGAAAATTGGGGGTAAATATGGTAGTGAGAGAAGGGTTTTGGCGGTTTGGGGGGTTCTGTTTGCTGCAGACTGAGGGATTTCAGCAATTCCTGATGGAATTTTTATGTCAGGAGGGTTTTTTTAGTGAGTAGAGAATAATGGGATTTTTGTGTGTGTGTGTGTGAATAAGCTCTACAAGTATATATAGAGATACTTTAAAATATCTTCTATATATAGGAAATATTACTTAATATATTCCATATATATGAAATAGTCATTTTCCCTGGTAGGATGAAATACCCTAAAGTCAGTTAAGGTATGAAAGTCAATCCTTTATTTAATTTGGGGGGTGCTGGAGTTTCAGTTTGATAAAAGAAGTGGCTATGGCTTATCACAGTTGTTATTTACTTCACCTTTTAATTAATAACTATTGAGAAACTGCTTCCATTTCTATTCCATCTGTGCCATGGAGCCAGGTTGGGAGAGCTGGGGGTGTTCAGCCTGGAGAATAGAAGCTCCAGGGAGACCTTAGAGCCCTTTCCAGTGCCTAAAGAGGCTCCAAAAGAGATGGAGAGGGACTTGAGATGAGGGATGGAGGGACAAGACACAGGGAATGGCTTCAAACTGATGTTTATATGGGTTGTTTTCTCACAGCAGTGATGGTGAGGAAGACTGACCAGCAAATGTTGTAGAGGTAGTTGTACCTATAACTAATACCTGAGCTCAGGTGTTTTCCAGGAGCAGCTGCATTTGTAAGTTCTTCCTGCAAGAGGGATCATAAGGAGGAAAAGAGGATAAAGCTGTTTTGAAGCCTCAAAGCAGTAAAAGAGGTTTCCCCCCTAACTTCTGCCTGTGACAGAATAACAGATTTCAGGGGAACAGGAGGTCCCCAGTGCTGGCTGGAGGAGGTGCAGCATCCCAACAAAGGGATCTGCACAAAAATCTTCGAGGGAAACACACAGAGGGAGTCTCTGGTCTACTCAGAAGTTGAGTCTTGTGATCCGTGTGATGAGATGAAGAGCACAGAAGTGGTGGAAGTGTTTCTTTTTTAGGTCTTGTTTAATTTTCATTCACCCAGCACAGTTAGCTTCTTGCTCTCTTAATACCAAGCATAAAGAATCTCACACTGGTTTGGGTTGGAAGGGCCTCAAAGCTCATCTCATTCCACTCCCTGCCATTTGCAAGGACACCTTCCACTAGCCCAGATTGCTCCAAGCTCCATCCAACCTGGCCTGGAACACTCCCAGGGATGGAGCAGCCACAGCTTCTCTGAGCAACATGTATAAATACCATCACACTTTTACTATTTGAATATTCAGGTACTTGTTAACACTGAGATAAAACAACTTTTGCACTGACCAGGATCCAGCACAATCCATGTGGTCCCTGCAGTTCAGCTGGGATGTGATTACGCCCTTTCCTGCTAGAAAGGGAGAGGAGTTTGTATCACTTCCCTCGTGGGTCTGGAGTTTAAATCTTTGCTAACACCTCAGTGCAATGTGAAAGGCAGTGGCTAAGCCAGTGTTGGTTTTGCTTCTCACTGAGGGGGGACAGCCCCCACCTGTGAGATCACACTTGGGGTAGGTGTTATCCTGGCCCCAGTGCCTATAGAAAATCTGACAACCATCCTGATGGTTTTCCCATCTGCCTGTGCCCATCTGTCTCCTGGTTTTCACTTGGGCTGCAGCATCCTTGGGACAGGATGGGTGTTTTTGCCTATGTTTGCGACGTGAATTACACCAATATTCACTCACTGCGTTTCAGCATCAATTCTGCTTTTGTTTCCTGCTCTTTACAGCTCCTAAATTTTCCCTTGCCTTAGGGAAAGCACAAAAATATCCCACCCAGAGTCAAACCTCTTCTCAAAGGAAACATTGCACACAAATGCCTGGACTTGGGCTAAATTAATCATTGTATTTTAGCCTTCCTGTGTAAGAAAAGCAATATTAGAATGTAACATGAATTGTGCTGTGCTCAATTGGAGAGTTCCTTTAGTTTTCCTAGGCTAATTCCCTTGGTCTCCCATGGCTTAGCTTGCAGAAACGTGGGACTTCAGGGGTATTTTAAGGTTGCAATTTAATCAGTGATTGACCTTGGAAAACTGAAATATAACCCCAGGAAGAGCCTTTTGCACAGCAGAGGTAACTTCTAGCCAGTCCCAGGCCTGAAATAAAACAACCTTGGTATCATTTATAGTTCTCTGTTGTCTTGAGGTTGGCAGGAAAGCTGCAGCATGGAGCAGCCCTTGCTGCATCCTCCTCTTCCAGCTCTGGGTCAGAGATGGAAAGCAAAACAAACCAACTTAAACCCATGCCAGAAGGAGGGAATTCGTATTCCCTCTCATAGTGGGAGTGTGATACTCACAGTAGAGGGATGGTAGTGCTGCAAACCCACTGGTGTTTGGCTCTCCACAGGTGTTGGAGCCCAGCCTGGAGGGAGAGAGGTGTCCTGGTGGTGACAGGGTCTGGAGGACCAGCACCTCCCCAGGGGGAGATGCTCTTATTAGTTACTACTATGCTACTCCGTTGTTACACAAGGCTCCCCAAGATCGGTACAACCATGCCACCTTGTGTTAATTCCTGTCTCCTTGAGCAGTCAGAGCAAAGAAATCACTTTCCTGTGTGTGGATGTGCGTGTCTGTATCAATAACTATGGCCCGGGTGTGCATCAGCAGCAGGTGAAGTGATTCTGTCACTTTGTGCTTGAACATTTAGCATAAAGACATTAGGTTTCATGGTTATATGTTCAAAGTACATTGATGATGATGAAGCAACATGCTCTGGTGGGAGGTGTCCCTGCCCAGGGCAGGGGGTTGGCCCTGGATGATCTCTAAGGTCTATTCCAACCGCTTAACATGCTATGATTAGTTGAGCTGTTGTGATGTGTCTAGTCCAGCATGGGTAATGCTTTCTGCACTGCCAGACATTCCCTGCTCAAGAGTGGGATGTGCCTCAGCTCAGGGGAATTTGGTCCATTATATCCCTGACTCCAATTATGTATTAATTAAACCTCTTTGCTCCACAGTCAGCAGCAGAATACGTGAAGTCTCGCCTGCCTGAAGTCCTGAAACAGCACCTTCAAGACTATGAGAAGGACAAGGAGAACAGTGTGTTGTCTTACCAAACCATCCTGGAGCAGCAGATCCTGTCCATCGATCGGGAAATGCTGGAAAAGCTGACTGTATCCTACGATGAAGCAGGTACAGTTGTGTTCCTTTCCCGCTTACATCGTACTGCACAATCTTTGCTCACTTTCAGTCTTTCTTGTGCTGCCAGCTTGAACTTTGTCTTCCAAGGTGACTCAGTGAACCATTGCTGTCCCCTAAAGTTGAGATAGAGAATGTTCCAGTTGAGTGATGAATGTTAACCAGCTGAGAGCACAGTTATTTTTCCACCTTGTGCTTTCTGCACTGATGGTGATTGATCTACTTGTGTCTCTATTGCCTCTGCAAGCAGTGCCACCTGTTTTCTGCTCTTTTCTCCTTCACAACTAACTTCTTTTGGGGCTTACCTAGCAGAGTGTACTGGGTAGTCACAGAACCTGGTTTTAGATGTGCCATGATGCATGTGGACAGCCAAACCCAGGTAATGTGTATAGTTTAGAGGCATTTTAACAGTGCAGTTAAAGGAGTTTTTATTTATGATATTCCCTTTTTACTAGCATTTTGTTTTCAAGTGGTTAAAAATGTCTTCCAGCTTTCAGATCCTTCACAGAGTTGTCTGATGCATGAGCTCCTTTACAAGTACAGAATAAAAATGACACAGTCTTGATGTTTTCAGCTGCTCTTCCAAATTAGCCTCCAATATATGCTGTGTGCTGCTCCCTTGAATTTTAGCAAGTTTCTTAGTGTTTAGATAATTGGAATTAACTTAACCTTGTACAGAAAGAATCAAACTCAAAGGAAAGTTCATTATTTTACTGCTGAATTAATATTCCTGGCAAGGAGTGGAATGAGATATGTACAGAAGGCTGAAAGATGCTGCTTGCTTTTCTCCACTTGAACCTCCCATGGCTGTGAGCTGAGACCATCTCCTCTCAACCACAGCCACCCAGCCCCAGGCAGCCTTGCAGTACAAAAAGAGAGTTTATACTTAGGTTGTCCCGATTTTTCTGAGGTTTTAATCCCTTGTTCTCTTACTCCTCTAGTACGTGGCACCGCGGTGTCCTTGGGGAACTGTGCTGAGCTCAGCTCTGAGTTCTCCTTCCAGCTGTTTGAGACAGAAGCCTTGAAGTGATGACTGTGTTTTTCATCCTGTTTAGATGACAGACAGCAGCCCTGTGGATCACTCTTCTTGGTTAGTGGCACCCTGATAACATTGCCATCACCTGAGTCCCATCACTAGCCCAGCCCTGGCCAACCCAACACTGCCAAGAGCTGTTACTGTGTTCTGTCACTTTGTGCTCACACTGCACTGCCCTGAAGGGCTTAAAATGCTCCAACTACTTATCCACTTTGTTCAGACTCCTCCTCAGCCTCCCACTCACTAGCAATGAGCTTCTCTCCAAGCTACTTTGATCTCAAAGGCACTGGAGCAACTCAAAGTGCCACTTGCAGACAGCACGTTCTGAGTGCTCTCAGGACTCTGAGCTTTGGGAATGGCAAATCATTACAAAGCTCTATTACTTTATCAATTATATCCACTCATTAACCCCATAAACAAGCCTGGTTCTCTGCACTACTGGGATCTGCAATGCTCCTGTGCTTCCATTTGCTGACTGCACATCACATAAGGAGCTCAGAGTCATAGGAGTTCTTGAAAAGCACAACAGAGTTAGAATGAGGATGTAGAATATTTTCTTAATCACATATGTGATTGGTTTTAATGAAGTATAAAAAAATCAGCTTCCAAACTTGTTGCTTTCTGCTGCTTCTGTTTGTTTTTTCACACAGAATTTCCTAGTCCATTGAATCATGTAAATCCTTTTCCCTGGTTTGGTCATTCCACCTCTCACTTCATTTGGATAGATAGCAGTTTGTTAGGAAGGAGAAAATGCAGTGAAGGAAATCACCAACTCCTCTCAGAGAGCAAAGAAAGCTTTTTCCTTTATGTCTGTAGAGTGAAAATCAAGATTAAAACTGCTTGAAACACATATTTGGGGATTTCTGTCATGCAATAAAACAATCAAGTGGAAATGAGAAGCTGCATAAATGACTGGGTTGGAAAAGTCTATCACTTACACACACTCAGCTTGGAGACACAGCATAGCTGGAAAGAAACCCCAACATTTCAGCTTCCCAATCAGGTGGAGACACCTCCAGAGATGAAAACAGAGCTCACTCATTATCCTAATCATGTAATTTGTTTGCTAGCAAGGCAGAGCTGTGCTACCTGCTGCTGAAGGGTGATCTGGTGGTGAGCACAGCTCAGGAAATGGGCAGTTAGACACAACTGCAGCAGCTCTTGGTGATCTCTGGAGCTGCAGCTGCTCAGAGCTCCTGCAGTGGGTGGGGGAGTTCTGCTGTCATTGGCCTTTGTCCATGCTAAAGGCAATTAATTCAGTGAGGAGCTCAAGCTGCTGGTGGGACATGCCAAATGAAGAGTACAAAATTGCAAAAGCAAAATTGGGGAAATAAAGTAATGGGGATGAAAGGGGAAGATACAACTTCATCTGGAAGGGAATGACATGGGGCATCAACCAAACCCATCCCAGAGCATGTTGCCAAGGGTTTCATTTCTGTACTGAGGAGCAGGTGGAGCTCTGCAAACCAGAGTGAGATGTTTAAGGTACATGATCCAAGGTTACAGTAGCCAACTGTATCAGGGTGCTGTGTGTACAGGAGAACTTTCACACCCTTTGCCAGCCAGGAAACCTTTTCCATCACTCCTGGAAAGGCCATTTTTTGAGCATGTCCAGAGCAGAGGAAGGGTCTGGAGCACCACGAGCAGCTGAGGGGACTCAGCCTGGAGAAAAGGAGGCTCAGGGAAGACCTTATAGCTCTCTAAAACTCCCTGACAGGAGGTGCAGCCAGGTGGGATCAGGCACTGCTCCCAGGGAACAGGGGACAGGATGAGAGGAAACAGCCTCAAGCTGTGCCAGGGGAGGTTCAGCTTAGACATGAGGAGGAATTTCTTCATGGAAAAGACTGTCAGGCATTGGAATGTGCTGCCCAGGAGGCGGTGGAGTCACCATCCCTGGAGGTGTTCAAGGAGTTAGTACTCTGGTCTACTTGACAAAGGTGGTGATGGGTCACAGGTTGGACTTGATGACCTTGGAAGTCTTTTCTAACCCAAATGATTCTGTGATTTTCCAAGAGTTTGCACCCCCAGCTAACTCCTTTCTCCCCAGGATGTCTCCCAGAGTGGACAGAGTTCAGCTGCCTTCATTTGCCAGGATAAAACTAAGATGACTTGGGCTCTGGCACAATTTTGCCTGTTCATTTGGCCTTTCTGGTAACATTCAATATTAATGATGTGCAGCTTTGATGGACTTGACATCCCAATGCCTCTGTGAATCTTTCCCTTTAGGAAATCAATACATCAGAGCTCCCAAATAAAATGAGTTTGAAAACAGTCTGACAAGACTTTTAGGGAGGTTTGACTGAGGAAGCTTTATAAAATGAAAGGAGGCCAAAAGTGACAGATGGGTACAAATCCTCTCATAATCTTTAAATCCCTTAGTTTAAAAAGTGGCATTCTTGACTAGCTAAGGCTGAGGTAATTTTGGGCAAGAATATTTTTTCCAGCCAAAGCTTTGTTGGCTGTTAATCCTATTCCTTTGATTCACAGCATCTCTAAACATCTGGGTAGTCAGTGCTGCTCTGTGCAAATGCAAGTCGAGGCTATTTAAAGGTGTTTTGGCATTCCAGAGTGGTGTGCCAGAGAGCTCAGACCTGCTGGGAGATTCTGGAGGTGGTTTTGTCCTGTAGTCAATGGGTTTTTCCTTAATGGATGGTTCCTCTCCCCCAGAGTCCTGCAGAAATCGCATTTCATTATTGTGTGACAAACAAGATGAATTTCATTTTTCCCTGCTGTCAAGCACTCAGGGAAGATATTGATGTTTAGGAACTGCATCCAGAGCCAGGTATGAGCCCAAAATGTGTTTTCTTAGCTAATCTTTTCTAGTGTGCAGATGTCTCTGGGTGAGATGAGGGTTTGTGCTCAGCCATGCCCAGGGAATCACAGTCCCTCAGGGCCAGGAATGTATCATCCTCCACTCCTCACTCCCAGCCGGATTTGGTATGTAAGGAATGGATCTAATTTCTTATATTCACCCTGCGTGTCTGTGCTTCACAAGAGGCTGGGACTGCTTTTAGCTGTGACAAATCCAAGGCTTAGACCTTAGAGTCATAGAATCATCTATGTTGGAAGAGACCTCTAAGATCACCAAGTCCAAACTTTAACCTGTCACTGCTGGAACTCCTAAACCCTAAACCATATCCTCCAGCACCAGATCCAGACACCTCTTAAACACCTCCAGGGATTGTGACTCTACCACCTCCCTGGGCAATATCCCAGTGCCTGAACACCCTCACAGGGAAAACATTTCTCCTAACACCCAATCTGACTCTCCCCTGTCTCAGTCCAAGGCCATTCCCTCTAGTCCTCTCCCTACAGCCATGGCAGGAGAGACCATCCCACACCTCTCTCCAAGCCCCTGTCAGGGAGTTGGAGGGACCCATGAGGTCACTCCTGAGCCTCTTCTCAAGACAGGTCCTACCCTTGGGGGACAACAGCCCATGCAGCTCCAGGCTGGGGGGAGGAGTGGGGAGAGAGGTGTTGGTCACAAAGGGACTTGGCAGTGCTGGTGGCAGCAGCTCAGTGGGAGCCAACAGTGTGCACAGGGGGCCAAGAAGGCCAAGGGCATCTTGGCCTGGCTCAAGCACAGTGTGGCAGCAGGACTAGGGCAGTGATCATCCCCCTGGACTGGGCACTGGGGAGGTCACAGCTCAGTGCTGTGTTCAGCTTTGGGCCCCTCACTGCAAAAAGGCCATTGAGGCACTGGAGTGAGTCCAGCCAAGGGCAAGGAGGGCACAAAAGGGTTAGAGCACACGAGGAAGGGCTGAGGGAGTTGGGCTTGGTTAGCCTGGAGAAGAGGCTCGGGAGTGACCTCTTTTTACCAGGTAGAGTCATCACTATGCTCTATTGCTGTGATGATAAGTTGTCTGTGCTGGGATGTTTGTCCCAAGGTGCTTCATGCTCAGAATAGCACATTTAAAATGCAGAAAGAAATCTGTTGGATTTATATCCTTCTTTAAAATTGAAATAATTAGTGTCTTATAATGCAGAGTCATGCTTGGGCCATGCCTTGGGGTTGGTCCTTTGCACTGGGGGCTTGGCCTTTGGAGAAATATTGGAACACGCTTTCAATAGTAGTGACTCATCAGGTGTTTAAATCCTTGTCCTGACAAGGAGTCAGGGGAATATTTCTCTTCCAGTCTTGGCTAAAGCCATTAGCAGTGAGGCAGAGCATCTGCTGAGAGCACTGGGGAGAGCAGACAGCTGTAATCCCACAATTACACACTGAGAATCATCCTGCAGGAACATGGAATAGTGCTCAAAGGGAAATGGCCTGAGCCTGGAAAAGGGCTGAAAATCTGGATGTAGGGTTATAGGAGGGATTTAAAGAGCAGCAAGTAAAATCATGCACTAAACATCCTAGAAACAACCATTGCAAAGGCAGTGGGGTGCATAGAAGGGACAAAGCAGGAGAGATGTAAAGGAGATGGAGAAGAGCCAGAAAGAGCAAAGAGGAAGAAATTACACACTCAGAGGGTGGTGAGGCTCTGGCACAGGTTGCCCAGAGAAGCTGTGGCTGCTCCACCAGCAAACTTCTGCCTGGCTTCAAATGTAGGATGGATCCTGCAGTGGGTTGGTACCAACAGATTCCCTTAAAGCCTTTTCATTCCATAAACATCAAACCTTTAATATCTTTGGCTCTGTGATTGTGGAGGAGTTGATTTGTTTGGAAGAGGTTGGAATCCTTTTTTTTCCCCCTTTTATTGAATGTGATCAGTTCTGCACAATGTGTTTGATATGGAAGTTGAATTTAATTCCATGGTGGGAAATGCAAAGCTGTAGGAGGTTTCTGATAGATCCCTAGATCACAGAGCTCTTCCAGAGGAGATTGCACTTGTGTTTGTCTGCCATTTATCTTGGTTATATACAGAAATTTCTAACCAGAATAAAAAATAAACCATTTTCAACTTATTTCTGCTTAGTGGGATGAAGCTAAATATGGGAGAGATGCCAAGAAATCAACCTGTGAGCTGAAATGGAGATTCCCTTTGCCTGAAGATTATTGTTCATAAGGACAAGGGATTAATCACAGGCACCAGGAGCTCATGGAGGTGGGAGCACTCCCTATTGCCACTGAGGGATTGATGATCCGTGTCAGAGCAGGCTGGAAGATGGAAAGGCTGCCCGAAAGAGTTTTTGTTCCCCAGTAATTAACTTGTGTTACCTGATGCATGAAACTTCCTTCCAGCTCTAGTTTTCCTACCTGGAAAACACTTTCAGGTGTTGAAACATCTACATGGATCTGTTAGTTTGAAGTATACCCCAAATATGGTGAATATATGATTAATGGTGAGCAGAATTCACTGTCTAGGGTTGGATTGGATATTGGGAAGGAATTCCTGGCTGTGAGGATGGTGAGACATGGCACAGGTTGCCAGAGCTGTGGCTGTCCTATCCCTGGAAGTGTTCCAGGCCAGGTTGGATGGGGCTAGTGGAAGGTGTCCCTGCCCGTGGCCCAGGGTGGAACTGAATGATCTTTAATGTCTCTTCTAAACCATTCCATGATTTGGAGATCTAATTAGAAACACAATCGAGTTCTCTGTTTCAAATGTAAAGCCATAAAATATACCACATACAGCCAGGTAGGAATTGTTCCATATGGAAATTAAGCTTCAGTCTTATAGATTGGAAGGAATTTCTATATATTTCTAAGAACCTGATTTCCCCTTTAATCTATTTTAAAAGGAGTTCTTTCAATTTTAGGGGGAAAAAAGCACATTATGTTGAGATGATTAAGGAGTGATGAGACCTTGACTTTTCAGAATGGTTATTTTTTAGGCTGAGGCTTTGCAAAACTGACTTCTGCAGAAGAATTTTGACTGAGAGAAGGAACAGATGCAGCTTTTGTAGAAGACAGCAGCACTGAGGGGTTTGGGGGTGAATGCCTGGATGGTGTTAGCTCTTTGGTCCCATGTACCTTGCAAGGCATATGAGGACAAGCAGGTGCTTTACAAATCCCTTTAAAAATGTGTCTCTGCAAGGTATTTTGAGTGATCAGCACTTCATTCCATTCACAGTCAGCCCATTAACTTGCCAAAATTGTGCATTTTGGAGATTATTATATCATTTTCTCTAATCTGTGTAGCTTTTTTTACTGCAAGAAATTATGTGGCTATTTAATATTTCAGCAAACTAGAAAGCAGTAAAGGACAAACCAAGTTTTGGTACCTGGTTTCTCCCTCCTTTTCCATGCAGATATGGTTTGGGAAGCATCGGAGCAAGGACAAGGCTTGAGCCCCTGCAATCTGCATCTCCCTGCTGTAGCACATCTGCTTGGTTGTATCGTTGCTTATCTTACAGATAATCACTGGAGAATTAGATTTATTCCTGTGGCTTTGGCTTAGAATCGCTGGGTCACTTGGAGGACACATGGAGGCAGAATTCCATCAGCTTGATGGTCTCACTCCACTTTTTATCCCTATTCCTGGCCACCCAAAGACTTCCCTTCCCCCACCCTCATGTACTTACTTAGGGTGTTTTTTTTCTCAGTCTTGCCTATTGCATGGGTGATAATCAGAGTTTGATTTGCATTGCCCGAGGGGAATGTGAGGAGCTTGGGAAGGAGAAATGCAAGAGACACATGGCTGGGAGGGGCTGAGGCAGATGGGCGCAGAGGACGGAGATGTGAGTGATCAAAACATCACAGATCTGCCCTGGAAACCACTGGAGTCTTATTGTTTAGGATTTAAAGTCCCTGGAAGGCAAATGGGAGTGTGTGGAGTGTAAATGGAAATGAAGCTGCATGTGGTGAGAGTTGCTAATGGAGAATAAAAATGCAAATAAATCAGTGTTTTGGTTTATCCTCCTTTTTGCACCATTCTCAGTGGTTCTGTTTCCCTCTGGAGGTTATTGAAGCTCAAAAATACTAATTCCCTGCTTAATTATTGTGTGAAGTCAAGCTTGAGCACTGTGAAAAAACATGGGAATGGGGTTTATGAGTTGGATTTTGTTTGGTTTTTAATCAATTCAGCCCAGAAAATACTGAATTTCTTGCCCTGTGGTCTTTCTGGATTCATCTCTGCACAAAGGGTATGGAGACCTCTCCTCTCATCAGGCATCACAGGAGGACTCTGAACACCATCAGAGTGTGAGGGGGATCCATACTGACCAAAAATCGTCTCTGTGGGTTGGTTTAACACTTATCCTGCCCGACCTGGAGTCACTGCTAAGGCAGAACTGGGCTGAGCTGTTATCCCAGTGTCAGTTCCATACCTGGCTGAGGGATCCATCTACTCCCGACCTGCTGGTCCTGTCAGCACAGGCTGATGCTGTTCCCATGGACATTGCCCCACAGCTTAGGACAGAGGGAGAAAAGAGTGATGTGGGGACATTACCTGCATTTTTTGCTGCTGGATTAGGAAGACAGGAGGGCACTGGGGGGATTTCAACCACCTTGGCCATCCAGAGCCCAAGAGCTCTGGTGCTCATCCTGAGCTGTCAGTGTGGAGCTGGAGCCAGGCACCAGCAGATATTTTGATGCCACAAGTGAAGCACAAGCTGTGCAGGTGAGCTGGCTCACAGCTGGGCTTTCCAGTGCCTTTTCAGGTGTTAAACAGGTGTTTTCCTCCCCTTGATAAAGCAATTATCTACAGACTGCTAGAGCTGGCACAGCCTGTACTCTTATAATGAGTCTTTTGTCTCAGAGCAACCTTCCAGGGTCTGAAGGGCCTCCAGGGAAGCTTCAGAAGGACTCTTGGTTAGGAACTGCAGGGACAAGACAAGGAGCAATGGGGATAAATTAAAAGGAAAATTTAGACTACATATCAGGCAGAAGTTTTTGCTGTGAGGGTGGTGAGACACTGGCACAGGTTGCCCAGGGAGGCTGTGGCTGCCCCAACCCTGGCAGTGTTCAGAGTCAGGTTGGCTAAAGCCTTGAGCAACCTGTTGTGGTGGGAGGTGTCCCTGCCCAGGGCAGGGGGTTGAAACTAAATCTCTAAGCTCCATTCCAGCCCCTTAACATTCTACGAAATCTTACCTGACACATCTCTGCAGCCATTGTAGCACAGGTTTTAAATTTTCTGCTGCTTTCCTTTGTAAAGGCTCAGCAGGGCATTACCAAGGGACTCATATAACATGTGCTCTCAATTCCAGGCCCTTTCTGGGGAGAATTTTCCATTGGGCAATTGCATTAAATCTGAGGATGCTGACAAGAGTAGCATGTTTTCTAACTCTACACAAGGTTAAATGACTGAAATAAAAATAGATGGAAAAGAAAATAAAGTACAATGAGTTTTGCTTCATTGTGTCGTGGCAGGTGGGAGCTCAGGTCAGGGATGTAACCATATCCCAATCAATCAGGAGCTGGGAGAGAGCTAATCCTTCCTAAATCACCTTGGAAATCATCTCCTCCTTCAGACTCTCATTCTCACAAATCATATAGTCAAGAAGACTGTGCTCAGCATTATCATTTTTATATGGATTGTGGTCATTATAGGTCTGTTTATGAAGCAGTTTAGGGAGAAGCACCAGGGCTGGAGGAGGTTATTTGCAGTGTTTTTCTTAGCAGGAAATGTGATGGTTGCTGCTGCCTGGAGGTCTTTTCTAACCTCAGTGACTCTGTGATTCTGTAACAGGAAGAACATTTTCCTGCTCACACATATCTCTGTAAACACATCTCCCATGTATTTATTTTGCTTCCCATTCCTTCTGTCTTTCCTAGGTACAACTTGTTTGATTGCACTGTTGTCTGACAAGGAGCTCACCGTGGCCAACGTTGGTGACTCACGAGGAGTGTTGTGTGACAAGGATGGCAATGCCATCCCCCTGTCACATGACCACAAGCCCTATCAGCTGAAAGAGAGGAAGAGGATTAAGAGAGCTGGTGAGTTTCTGCTTTGGCTTGAAGGTTCATATTTTTCCTCCTGTCAATGAAACAGACTTTTCCCCTGATTGAGGCTGGAAAGTACCTGACTGAGGCATCAGCAGGTGAAATCTTCCCTTATCCATACAGCACTTCCAGCAGTGCAGACAGTGGTGGCAGCATTAACCTACCCCTTAATGAGCCATTGACAGGGTAGGAAGGGCAGCCTTCATCCTCAACAGGCTGTTGATGATCCCATCCAATCCCCTTGGGATCTCTGCAGGGAGAAAATTAACAACCAGGAGCAGCAGCATCACAGACAGCTTCACTCCCACCCCTGCCCACAGCCTGGATGTGAGAGGCTGAATCTGGGCCTGAATGAGGTTTAGTGTCTCAAATAAGCAGAGCATGAATCTAATCCATCAAAGCTACTTTTTATTCCCATATAATGAGCACAGACATGGAAATTGTGTGGCAGGAGTAGAGGAAAAGGAATCTCTCTGCAATAAATCTTCCTCGCGCCTATCTCTTGTCAGCTTAGCCTCCTCCTGGCCTAGAAGTTCCATTGGGATCATCAGGTTTAATAGGCAATTCTCCATGAATTTATCCAAGTCGATTTTGCACCCATTCCTGGTTTAGCTCCTACAGCAGCAGCAGGAGGTGATTTGATGAAGAGAGTAAGCTGCTGTGGTTTGTGTTAACCCTACCCTGCATTGCCCCAGAGGTGCATGACCTCCCTGCCCCCATATCTTCCTCTCTAAAATGGAAATAACAAGTTTTTCCATGAGTATAAAACGTTTTTAAAGCCCCAAGGTTATCCACGTGCTCCAACTAGCATAAATAGCTGCCCATGTGCAGTGGGAGCTTCCTCTCAGTGTGCTTGGAGGAGCTGGAAGAGCAGTGGGGGATCCTTCCTGCTGCTGGCAGAGCCAAGGCCACATGTGCTCCCCAAAGGGTAAGGAAAACAATGTGAGTCCTGAGAAGAAGGAATAGGAAAGTCTTGGTCTCTCTTTGCTTCAACTCTGTACTTGAGGGATGTATTAATAAAGAGATTCATCTATAAAATCAGTTCTCTTGGCCAAGCGCAGGAGGCCTTCACTGAGGAGCAAAAATCAATCTGATTATTTGGCTTTAGAACACAACAACTTGTAAAATGAACCTGAATTTTTGCAGGGATTTACAACTTGGGAACAAATTATTTTCATGGCCAGGTAAATGTTAGAATTATCAGAATAAGAATTGTTCTCTCTGGTCCTGTGACTTCATGACTTCACTTCTCTGTTCCCTCCTGCCCTGTTGTAATACCCTCACTTTTGTGGCCTCATGGTGCTGTTAAAAACATATAATCCAGTTCATACAATTTCCAGATACTTTTACACTTTGGAACATCACCTTTTTACATCCGCTAAGTGTAAAATTGAAGCCAAATGCCCCAACTGGATTATTACCCAGCCCACACTGCTCCCAAGACAAAAGGCACCTGGATTTTCCCAGCATCTAGGTCCTTCCTTGTCGTGAGGAACTGAAGAAGGGGACAACAACCACATCATCAGGTTCCACTGGGGGTTTTCAACTTGTCCAGTGCCCTGTAGGTAGTTATTAAATGCCTGAACATTTGTGTTAGAGGGATTAGAGTTCATTTAGAAGTGAAATCCATATAGCCATGGATGAGTAAATATCCTTCAGCCTCATGCTGACAGGAATCAATGTGAGGCAGCCTGAAGCAGCAGCTCCAAGAGCATTGCTTGTCCTCTGCATTCCAGTGGGATAGAACTAAACTAGTCCCTCACTTTTGGCTGCTGTGGTGGATGTTAAGGAGGTAATTCAGTCCTGCTCCTTCCGTCATTCCCAATAACTGAGTACAAAACCTTAGCCCAAAAGCTGAATACAACTCTCATTTATCAATCTGAGGTGACTGGAGCAGCTCTTGTGCTGAAGCCCCAGGTGCCAAGGATGTTGTTTTCCCTGAAAAACACAAGGAATCTCCTGATGAGGAGCCTGAACAATGTGCATAGATGGTATTGATGTAGAACAGTGGCCTTGGAAGAACTGTGGGTTCGGTTTATGCCAAAGCACTTGGTTGTAGAGCACAAGGTGACTCTCACTGACAGAAATAGAAGTGATTCACCTTGAGCTCACTTCTGGCTCACATGGAAAACATTTGTGCCACTGCCAAAAAGCTTCAATTCCTTTCATGCCTTTTTTTCCTCCAGCACTGCAGTGTTTGTTTTTTCCTGAGCATTTCTATGGATTCAGTATAAATTCCTTTATAAAAGAAAATATTATCAGTGCGAACAAACACTTCAGGAAACCACTAGGGCCATGGGCAGTTCCAAGTGAGAATGGCACTGAAAAGTCACTTTGTACACATCAGCATGACCTGCACAGTCTGGAGTAAGCATGGAGTAAGGTTTGCTTGGCTGTGTAGCTAAAGAGGAGGCTCCCAAATCCTTCCTTTCTTTGGCTATGGAAGGAAACATCTTCGCTGGCTCTGCAGGAATGTTCATGAGAACACCTAGCTAAGAGTTGTGTTCCTGCTGGTTTTAACACAAAGCAAATTTCAAGCTTTATACAACAAAGAATCATTAAATGAAACAGTTTCACCTGAAAGTAGAAGGAATTTACAGATTAGATCAGGAATGGGAATGCTAAGGGAAGATTTAGGTGACAGGTGACAAATAACACACAGGCTGGAAACACTCTGATAGCTACGGAGACATTTGTGAAAGCAGCAAAGCAGTTTACAGATAGAAAACACAACAGTTCACCTTATTTTGTCATCTATTTCATGTTCCATAGTGACAAATGATTTGCCCTGGAGTGTTCATTGCTGTTAAGATGACAGGAATGCTGTGATGGAACAGTGCAGATGGATGCACAGGGATTGAAGGTGTCACAGTTCTCCTCTGTGACCTTGAGCCCTGCCTGGTTCCCTCCCTGTGCTGGGGAGCAGCTTCATGTGGCTGTGTCAGAGCCACTGATTGCAATGCAGAACAGACCTCACTCTAAGCACCTCTAAATAGGACAGGTTCAGCTAGAAGTAGCCTTAATCCTGGTGGTGAGGTCAGTCAGATCCCACATTGCATTTTCCTGACTTGAAGTAAAGTTGTGTCATCAGTTTGTTCCCAACAGGTTTTTAGTACTGTTTGGCACAGTTCAGTCGAGGCAGTTTGAGCCTATAAATGTTTCTGCACTTGTTTCTTTGCTTCATGCCTTGAAGGGAAACGTGTCCCACTGCAGGGTGTTCTCAGTGCTGTGTCCTTCAGAGATCTGGAGTGGGGAAACATGAACCACACAGCAAAAGGTGTTCACCAGCGCAGGAGTGTAACAATTTGTTTCGCTGTTTTCCTCTCAACATTGCCGTGAGGTTTTCTGAGCAGCCAGTTGTGTAGAACAGGAATTCCTGTGGTGCTCCATAAGCTGTGTGTCTCTGTGGGAGAGCACACAGCACAGAGCTGCTTCATTTGAAAGCAGAGCCACTGCTGAGGCTGTTGCAATCCTGCTCTTCCCTGCTGCGCGTCGAGAGGCACCCAAGGCATCTCCTGCCTCTGTAACATCTGTATCCCTCAGGAGAGATTTTTGGGTGGGTCTGGCAGGAAGTGGAGAAATGCTTTCATGTTCAAAAGAGATGCTTTAAGTGTTGGTGTCTCTCTCCAGGTGGTTTCATCAGCTTCAACGGCTCGTGGCGTGTTCAGGGCATCCTGGCCATGTCCCGTTCCTTGGGAGATTACCCCCTGAAGAACCTCAACGTGGTCATCCCTGACCCTGACATCCTCACCTTTGACCTGGACAAACTGCAGCCAGAGTTCATGATCCTGGCCTCAGATGGGCTGTGGGATGCCTTCAGCAACGAGGAGGCCGTGAGGTTCATCAAGGAGCGCTTGGATGAGCCGCACTTTGGAGCAAAGAGCATAGTGCTACAGTCCTTCTACAGAGGGTGTCCTGACAACATCACAGTGATGGTGGTGAAGTTCAGGAATAGCAGCAAAACAGAAGAGCAGTAGTGAGCAAGTGGCTCTCTGGCTCACTCTGGACTCAGCACAAACTCTTTAACGTTTTAAACATAGTAGGAAGCTCTAGTAAATGCCGTTAAGATTCTGCACAGAAGGAACAGATCCCTCTGGTCTTTGTTCTTTGCTTAACTAAAGGAGCAATACAACAAATCCATGCTGAGTGATGACAAGAATCCAGTTTGTCCACATGTTCCTGCCTCCTGTGACCTTGCTGCTCCTCAGAACCTGGCTGTAACCTTCCATGTCCCAATTTTCTGTCCCAATCCTGTGTAGACTTTTCGTTTTGATTCTTCACCTCTCACTTCCGACACTCCAAGGTTGGTTCAGGTGCTCAGCAGGGTCAGGGCAGTGCTGCTGCTTTGCCCTCATAGGTGTGACTGCTCAGAACATGGTCCTCATCTCTTTAACCTGCAGTGATAAGGTTGTGTAGGAAAAGGGTTGTGGTTATTGGCCTCTCAGTGGTAAGGAGGAGGAAGAGGAGCCAACTATCAGTCTGCTGCTGCCACTCACCTGGCTCTTGCTTTCTTTAACCTCACCCCCTGAAAGAAATCCCCACCAAGCATGTGAATAGGTAGAGTTCCTGAATTACCTGAAGCCACATGATTATCCAGGCTGTGCATTACTCTATAACAGTTCTTCTAGGCCATATTGTAGCCAAACCAACTAATGTTAAACGTCAGCAAAGTACTTTGAGGTCTGACACTGTCTGTATCAGGAAATAGCTCAGTTGTGGTAGCAGAATGTCTGTCATTCACCCAGACTCACCCTGACCTTATTTTCTTGGCATGGACTTGGCAAGTGCTGCAAGATAAAATGAATTTCATTAGTGACTGGTGGAAAACTCATCACAGCAGAGCCTTCCTTAGAGCTACCTAGCTGGAAGGCAAGGCAATTAAAGACTTCCTTGTACCACTGCAGATGGATTTATGGTGTTAATCCCAGGGCAAACTCCTCTAGAAACTGTGTTTTGGGATAATGCACTATTGGCAGGTGGTGGCATTGCACTGGGGAGATGAAAGGTTGTGTTTAATCTAGCTAAAGATATGTTTAGATCTAACTTTTGGTATTTAGTTGTGGTTTGGAATCTGTAACTGCTGTGAGGTGACAGTTTGAGTTTGCTCTGCATCTGGTGACACCCCAGGTGGCAGAGGGACAGTGGCAGAGGAACAGAGCCAAGGTGAGGGTCAGGATTTTGGATGCCTTGCTTACCCATACCCTGTCTTACAATAATCCTTGGGGTCTCCCCACAAAACATGGTCCTGGATGATCTGCTCGAGTCCCTTCAGGGTGATGGAGGTTGTTGTTTGGGTCTAGAGGTGACTCAGGGATATGATGCATTAACTGACATTGCCTGTTCCTCAGGTAAATACAATATTCCTTGGTTTAGCAGCTGCCTGTGGCTCATCACACACCTGCAGTGGTTTGAGGCAAGTGGTTGCTGGTCCCTGAGCTGAGCTGAGCTGATGCTGAGCAGGTGTTGGTCCCTCAAGGTGAAAATTGAAGCGCACAAATTCCTGCTTGAGAAGGAATTCCCTTCTTAGTCTTTTGGGTTTTGTTCCTAGGTTACCTCTTCCCCAAAAAAACTTCCCTCCTTTAATTTGTTTGGGGATAATCACACCTCCTAATGGGATCTGTTGATGTAACCAATGCTGTCCAGAATGTGTCCAGATCCCTTAGTAGCCTCTGCTCATTCCAAACCCAGGGAGAGCCCCTTGACTTGGAAAAGTGGAAAGCAGAAGTATGGAAGTGTCCAGCACCCTCTGGAACAGCAGGCACACAACCTGCACTGCTCCTTCCCTGCAGGATGGGAGGTTCCAGGCAGTTTTAATCCCCTGAGCAGTGCATTCAGTGGATCTGAAATGCAGCTTGGCAGGTAAATTGAGCAGCTAACAAGAAATGTTAATAATTGCAGAGTGTTTCAGGTATTTCAGTTTGAAAAGGTATTTGAGGTCAGAAGGCTGTGAAATGCAAACCTTGTGTGATATTGCCTTGGAAATGTTCAGTCATGGACTGGGGAATGGCACAGCAGCAGTGTCAGAGCTGTGCTCCAGGCAGAGCTGAGTGAGTGGTGTTTGCCTTTCCTGTCTCCTTCACAGGAGGTGTTCCTGTTGGACTGACACTTCTTTGGAGGACACAGCCTGGATGCTTGTCCAAACAGCTGCCCAGGGAAAAGGAGAATTAGACCCAGCAGCCTGCAGAATTCTGAAAGAGAGGGATGTTTGTGTAGCAGAGGCATCACCACTAATCCTGCATAGGCATTGGAGGAGTTGGAACATGATGGACCAGCACCACTGGAGTGTAAGCTCCTGGCTGCACTGAGCTTCCTGCAGCTCATGCTCCTGAGGTTAGCAAGCATCCATGAGGGATCCCTGACCTTCTCCAGAGCATGGCTAGCTGGCTGGTCACTCCAGCACATGAGATAAATGGGAAAATGAGGTGTCAGGAATTCACAACCATGAGGAAGCAGTGGGAGGGCAGCTGGCTCTGGAAGCAAGCCATGCTCTCAGGATTTAGGAAAACACGGTACAGAAGCAGTTTCCAGCATCCTTCATGCTGTCCCTCACAGCCCCTCCAGGCAGGCACACAATCAACCCTGCTTCAACCTTCAAGTGGCTGCAGCTGCAGCAAGAGCTGTTTTACCACCTGCAGCTTCCTCTCTCACCTTTCCCTCAGCATTGTCCATGCCAAAGCCATCCATGCCAATGATCTCTGGTAAGCTTGGTGACTTTTGCTTTTATTACTTTAAGAACTGAGTTTCAGCTGCTGTAGGTTTAAAGCTGAAGGACTGATGGAGGTGAGAGGATTTGTGTGGTCTTCCCCCTCCATGTGCAGTGCCTACTTGTGCTCCCTGCTGGAATTCTTCTGGTTTGAATCCAAATCTAGGCATTTATAATTTTGCTGACTTGTGCCAAATTCTGTCCTGACACAGCTGTTGGATGACAAGATGAAGTAATGCACATACTGCTTATGCAACCTGACCAGTCCAGGGTTCTCCCACTGCCTTAACACTTCATTCTCCATCTGGAAAGGGTTGCCAGGTGCTATAGCCAGAAATATCCCCCTGCAGCGTGGCACAGTGGGTTCCAGCACTCCATCCTCCCTGCTGCTCTCCTGCCTGGGCACCTCTCCAAGAAAAGAGAGCTGCCTTTTGCTGGAAATGACTGGCACACAGCTGGGAGCTCCATGGAAGTTCTTTGTTGTTTGTGCTTGAGTCGCTCCCTTGGTGACATCTGTTCCCCACAGTAAGGGCATCATGTGGCAGAGAACTGATGTGTTGAGTTGCTGCCAAAGAGCATCTTTCCTACAGCTCAATATGACAAAATGTACCCTGTAATTCGTCAGCTGAGCCAGTGCTTAAAGAATTTGGGCAGTCCCCAGGGATATCACAGGCTCACAGTTAACTCACATGGAATGTTTTAAGGATAGACCATTCAGCATTGCATTCATGGACTGCTGTGAAGTTCATCACTCTGATTACACACTGGGAGGGGATTCAGACAGGCTGATCATTCCCCAGCAGGGCTGTGACCTTCCCCATGTGTTACTCTGGTGCTGTGCAGGGGACAAGGGCTGGGGACAGCCAGGTTGGTGGGACCATGGAGTACAGGAATCCAGCAGCATTCCCTCAGATTTCAGAGCTGCTCTCTTAGCCCCCGTGACAAAAGTGAGTGGTTTAAAGTCCCCACTGTCCCTTGTCTCCTAAGCTGTGGTCAGGAATTCATGGCTCATCTCAGGGCTGGCAGGAGACACTTTTATTTCATATCAAACCAACGTTGCTGTGTCCCTTGTGCCATCCAGCATTGGGCACAGAGCTCCTGTGCCACAGGGAGGGATGGGCACACTGTGAGCATGGCATCACTTCTCCTACAAACCTAAAAATACCAAATTTGACAGGAATGAGCCTGTTTTACTGATAGAAAATTTAGGTAGATATAAACAAGGTAAATGCCATCAGCTTCATGGGTTGTGTGTTGCCTTGTGAGCACAGGATCAGTACCAAACCACTGCTGCTGTTAGCACAGTGTTAAACCATTTACAGAGGTAACATTAAACCATTGTGAGCTTTTTAGTATCCACAATTTACTGCTGCATCAGCTTGGACAGTGTTTGCTGCAGAAACATCAGTGCTGCAGCCTGAAAATGAGGGATGTTGTGTCCAGCTGCCTCTCAGGATACAGGACAGCTCTGCTTTAAATTAACATAGCTGATACTTGTTTGACACACAGAAGCATCTAGTAAGTGACTATACTGAAGGGAAAAATACCCCTAACCAGCCTTTCATTTCCCAAAGTAGGTTTTTAGGCCTCTGTACAAAATTGCAAGGTTACATTTGGGAATGTTCTGCTGGAATTTGGCAGCTGCACAGCCCAGAGCTGCTGCCCCTTGGTGTGCTCAGTATGTTCATAAATGACTTTTCTAAACCTGAGGACTCACAGTGAAACAGATAGACAGTTAATAGTGAGCTGAAGTTTAGTTATTTTTATGTGCTGACTAGACAAGGATTAGGGAAGCAGCTGTTTCCCAGGTATCAGCTGTCTCCAGTTCACAGGATAGTCTGGGTGCTGTGCTAAGCAAACTGTGTGCAGTGGATGCAGCTGAAACCTCTAGAACCATAAATTAGAGGCTCAAGAGTAACTCTTGAGGAAAGGTTTGAAATCCACTTTTAAGGATTTCATGCATTAGATCAGCTCCTGTGTCTGCTCTGCTCAGTCCTAAGGAAGTTGGAATGAGATGAGCTTTAAGGTCCCTTCCAACCCAAATCAGTCTGTGATCCTGTGAGTTAGTTGAGCAATAGGGAACTAAAGCACTTTTCCCCCACACTGCAATGGCCAATCCTGTATTTTTTGAAGCCTGTGGAGATGTATCACTACTCCCAGGGACACGGACGCTCATAAATCCACTTCAGCCCGTTTTCCAGCACATTAATCAATGAAAGATCATTTAGTGCTTGAGAAATCCGAATGCAGGACTGTGAAACACTGGGAATTCCTACAGTGCATTTAGGGACGTGAGAGTGAGATCCATATAACTTCATCCACATTTGCTTTACTGTGAGCAGTGACAGGAGCCATGAAGTCAGGCTGACATTCAGGTACCTGCTCAGCCCATGTCACTGCCTCTGCTCTCCCTTGGCTTTGGTTCCTGCTG